TATTATATTTGCTATACATTAAGCATATATAATGTCAACTCATATCCCTTTTGTCTGTTAAAAACTTGTAGGCACATCTCTGTAGGTAACATTTTAAGTCTAATTCATACCATTCGCAATGAATTTTTTTCTTTATTGTTGACACTATTGCAGATGTCCCATTTCCCGCCCCCCCTCTGTTCCTCTCCTCCCCACCCCCGCTCTGCCTTCCCTCTGGCTATCACCACACTGCAAGCTGCTTTAATACAAATTTAAAAAAAAACAAAACAAAACACATAGTTCGGAATTAAACAGAGAACGTACACGTATTTGGCATTAGATACGAAGTAGGTGATTTTACATCCAATAACTAATTTTCATGACCAGCCCTGTAGGTAAGTTAGAGAAGAAGCAGAGATTCAGACATTTTAAATAACCTCCCAATGACATAATAACTGAGTAGAAGATCTGGAAATCAAACCTGGCTCTCCTGTCTCGGAGTCTGGTGGTACCTCTCCCGCACCACTCGGCTCCACGACACTTAAGAGTCCAGAAGTCTCGGTTTTATTTCCAACCTAAATGCATAAAACACTGTATACTATTACTGTTTTGAAAATTTGTATGTTCATTTATTTAGCAAAGTTTCTATTGAATTCTAATATATAGACACATGTTTAGCCTAGTGATTTCTATGCTTTTGGGGTTTTTGGTTGCTGTTGTTTGGGGGGTGTGTGTAACTATTAACTCTGCTCTGAAATAGTGCCCTATAAACACACGGTGAGAAGCGCTGGTGGAGATAACCTGCAGGAGGGTCTGGGGAGAGAGTAGTAAACTGAATACAGACTCAATTTTTTAAAACAGTCATTGGGCAGACTTGCCAAAAAGAGCTCAGAGTATAGTTTTATTTAAAAATTCTCATTCGGAACTTCCTTGTTCAAGACTGAATTAATGGAGGAGAGCAGGATTTCAGGGGTACAGTGATCTCTCCAGGGTTCCCCATGAAAATTAAAAATGTGTCCATGGTAGAGCATCGTCTTGCCTCCTTTCCTGGCCATCTTTCACCTTTTCCTAGATTGCTCGCCTCTCTAGTGGCCCAATTTCACCCGCGCCCCTCCGCGCGCCCTAGGTTTCCAAGGCGCTCTGACTGTGCGGATCTAGGGTAACCTGGAACCTCACAGCCTCTGAAGACAAGAGCCTTGTACTGCCCTACCGCCCCACAGGCACCCTGGTGGCCAGCCTGCTCTATCAGCACCATCACAGCGAAGGACCCTGTGTGCTGTACCCTCCACCCAAAGGAGGGACACATGTTTGAGGCGGCAGGTATGACCTGTGCGTGTGCTGCAGTGACCGTTTCACAGGTGAACGAAAAGCCGTCGGGTGGGGGCGGACCCAGAGTGGGAGGGGGCCCTCCTGCCCCGAAGACCTGGCAGATGCAGCCATGCCCCTGGGGTCTGGGGCCGGCCAGGGCGTTGGATGGCGTGCACAGCAAGGCCCAGGAAGGCTTCGCAATTTGGTTTTGGTTTCCGTGCCCATCATGCCTTGCCAAAGCCACCATCCGGGGACTCCCCAGGGGCCTTATAAATGGTCGTGGTATCTTACACAACATTGCTTCTAATCAAAGAACCCAAGTTAGACAAGAGGCTACAGCCCTTGAGAGTCACTGGTCTCTTCACGCAGCAACACACAGCGGCATCTGGCCTTGCAGAACCGCAGAGCGGCGTGTTAAATTCATGCGTGCCTCCAGCTGGTCGCACAAACACTTTCAATATGGAGTGCTGTCTGTTGGACTGAGAATAGCCTTCGAACCAGCGTGATACGTGATGACTATTCCTCCTTTAGCCAGAATGCATGAGTCAGGAACTCAAGGAGTAGAGTTGGGGATAGCACAGCTCACAAATACCCAGTGGCCTCCTTCTGAAATGTTTGCTTCGTCTCCCCATTGCATAAAAGTGTAATACCGATAAAGAAATGCTGGCACCAAAGGAATAATGTTCTTGCTGAATTTGAAGCTTAGACTCTCAGCTGGGCATTCCATCCACTGAGGCTGCTGGGGGCCCAGGCACAACTGACGCATCAGTTCATGTCTACTGACCCCACCTGTCTGGTGGGCTGGGTTTTGCAAAAACAATATTGGAGACTTTGCTTGATGCCATCAACATGGATCCTGCCTTTGTCCCTTTTCACTCCTACATTAAACAGGCAGATGGAAAGTGCCAGCCAGATGTCATCAGGGGGAGGAGGTGGGAAAGGATGACAAAGGAGACACATTAACAGAAGAAGTCACCTTCAGGAAAAGGCAGGGCCCATATAGATCGCACTTGGGAAGGGGCGCGTTACAGAAGGTTCATGTCAGATCGATGTTATCATATGGAAGATGCTCCCTCTCCTAGGAAAGTCACTGCTTCCTTGAAAGGTCTCATTTGCATCCTTCCAATCTGGTGGTAGGAGATGCAGTGGGCATTAAAGGTTACAATAAGGAAGAGATTTAAAGCATGCATACCATTAAGAACACCATTTCATACTTTTTCTCAAAGTAAACAAAGTTGTCTAAAGAAGTATCTCTGTGCCTAAAATGAGTAAATAAACCAACGTGAATGTTAAAGGAAGTTGTAGGTAATCTGCGCTGGAAGTTCTGCCCAGGGAAGATCTATTCCCTCCAGCAGGATTCATTTGGATGCTAGTTTATGGCTACTCATGGTAATATGAGGGCCATATCGCTGCTTCTGAACCTTTAACTCTGTTTTATTGTTTGTAAACCTACAGAATATGAGCGGTGCACAGGTCCAGGGAAATAATTGGGCAATGATTTTGGGAACAAGAAAAGTTTAGGCACACCCCTGATGTCAGCTAGCTCCTTTCTGCCATCTATTTTTACCTGCTCCCCCCCCCCCCACCTCTTGAAACCACATCATCCTTTTAAAAACACTGTGCTCACCATGTCTCCTCCCCTGCGGCTTGCAGTTTATCACGTCGGTGCTCTTGACTTCAAGGATCAGAAATGCCTGACTCTGACCGGCTTCACAATGAGGGACTTTGTTCTTTCACAAAACAGGACATCTCGGGTTTGAGGAAGCTCTTGGCAGAGTAGGGCCATCGGGCTCAATGATGTCATCGAGGACTGGGGTCCTTTTCATCCTCTGTGAGTTGGCTTTGCCCCAGGCTGACTCCCTTCATGGCTGAACAATGGTTGTAGCCATTTCAGGTATTATGTGCACTCTTGATCCTATCTAAGGGAAACGGTGGGACTATTTCTTTTTAAAACAGTTTTATTGAACTGTAAGTCTCATGCCATACACTTTTCCTATTTAAAGTGCCTAATTCAGTGTTTTTCAGTATTTCATGGAGTGGTGCAACTACTGCCACAACGAATTTTAGAACATTTCACTGCTCCAGATCCTGCCTACATTTCTTGGTTTATGGTTCCTTCCTTCGCCTCCCTCTTTCTCATTTTCTCTCATCTCTGGTCTCCTTATAGGGGCCCCTGTGATTACCCTCGGCCCACCTGGATAATCCATGATAACCTTCCCATCTCAAGAGCTTTAACTTAATCACACCTGTAAGGTATTCACAGGTTCCAGGGATTGAGAGGGGCCTCCTTGGGGGAAGGGTGGGGGTCCTTCCGTTTAGCACACAGTATTTAGTGTGCCGAATCAACACCCGTGGAAAAGGCCGAGCAGGAGGCAGAGCTGGGCCAAAGGCGAAGCAGAGCTGTGGTGCAGCCTGTGAATGGGGAGACCCGGGTGCAGGCTCTCTAAGGGCAGGCACATGAGGGCCGCGGTGCAGGAGCGCATCCTCGCATGCACAGTTAGCAGATGTTGAGCTGACAGAATGATGGACAGGAGGAGGCGAGAAAGCCTGAGCTGACTGGGCTGGTCTCCACACCAACTGAGGCGGTGGGGTGGGGTGGGGTGGCGGGGGGTGGGGAGGGGGACTGAGAATTAGAAGTGCTGCTTGTGGCTCAGCACTGGCCTGGCTTCTCTGTAGCTTTCTTGCTTCCTAGAATCTACTCACTATGTTGTGGCCAGAGAGAGATTTAGAAATGTAAACCAGAGCCCTGGTCGGGTAGCTCATTAGGCTAGAGCATCACCCCAGTATGCCAAGGTATCAGGTTTGATCCCTGGTCAGGGTGCATACAAGAATCAACCAATGAATGCATAAGTAAGGGGAACAACAAAATCCATTCTCCCCCCCCTCCACCTCCCGCTTCCTTTCTGTCTCTGAACATCAATAAAATAAAGTTGAAATTAAATGTGAACCAGATCACATTGTCCCCAGAACTGAATCCCCTCAACGCCTTTCCTTTCCATCCCACTTGGATTCATGTCTGAACTCCTCACCACTGTGGTCTGCCTTGCCCGCCTCAGCAGCTTCATCCTGCTCCTTGCTCCTTAGCTCCCTGGCCTTCACCCACACTGACCCCTGACCTGCCAAACTGCCTCAGGCTTTAGAATTTTGCACTGACTATTCCCTCCCCTGGGTCCTCTGTTCCCCTGGGTCTCTGTTTGACCTGCTCCTTCTCACCTTTCAGGTCTCAGATTAATTGCCCCTCATCCAGAGGTGCCTAACTTTGCTTTCTTTAAAATAGTTCTTCCCCACCCTGCTTCCTATAAATCACCTGTTTCATTTTCTTTGTGGCCCTTATCGCTACCTAAAATTGCCCTGTTCATTAAGTTATTTTCTTTTTTATTTTTATTTTTTAATATAATCTTTATTACATATTTTTTCCATTACCATTTAGTTCCCTTATACCCCCCTCCCTCCAGCAATCACCTCATTGTTGTCCATGTCCATGAGTCCTTTTTCCTTTTCGCTGATGTAGTAGTGCCAGGTCCTAAAATGGTGTTGAATGATGGATGGATGGATGGATGGCAGGCTGGCTGGACGAATACAAGAGTGCACGAAAAACGAAGGCGGCCCCTGCACACCGGACCCTCCCCGCGCGGCCGGAATCCGGGCGGAACCCGAGGGCGACGGCAGCGGTTTCCCCGAAGTGAGCGGAGGACGCTTGAGGGAACACACAGGAAGGCGGGGCGGCGAGCGGACCGGCCGTGGTGAGTGCGGCGGGGCCCGAGCGGGGAGCGGGGCGCTGGGGCTAGGAGTGAGCAGGGAGCCCCGGGCCGCGGAGCCGAGTCGCGGGAGTCGGGCTCGGTCGCGGGGACCTGGGATCGGAGACCCGGGTCGGGGCCGCGGGTGCTGGCGGCGCCGCGAGGGCCCAGCGCCGGCGTCGGGGGCAGGACCCCGTGCGGATGGCGGGTTCCCTGTGGTCACTGAGGGAGTCAGCTGGCGTGGGTTCTGGTCCCAGAGCTGTCGCTAACTTGTGTGACTCTTGTTTTAGGCCTTTGGGCTTTATCTTAATCATTTGCAAAACGGGGCGAATAGTGTCTTGTCGATTGATTGGTTCATTCATTCCAGGTGCTTTATTAGGTTGTTTGCTACGGGCGCGTAGACAGAACCTGCCTGTGAGGGATTTACGGTCAAGTGAGAACCCTCACCTGACAGGCGAGGAGGGCCAGTACAACGAGATTTTGGCGATTCTTTGAGGGGGGAAGAACACCCTGCTTTTCAGTCTAGAAATGGTCAAAAGAACATCTTAAATTCAGACTTTTACTGAGATTGGGGAAGGAGAATCCCTTTGGGTACTTAGGCATATGCGTGGTTAGCCGATATATTGCATATTGGGATGACAAATGCTTACAGAGAAATTTGCAGCGTGCGTTCCCAGCCCTATCAGATATGATCCTTACAGCCTAATACGTTCCTAAGAGCAGGTATTAATGAAGAAATAGAAGCAGATGCTAAATGACTTGCCCTGACTCTCACTGCCAGTAAGTGACAAAGTTAGGACCGGAGCCTAGGCCTCAGGACCCCTGAACCAGTGCTCTTCACAATACACTCCATAGCCTGAATGTTTCCACTGTTCTTATACGAATTATGCATTGGGTCATGGTGACCTTTAAACAGACACATGGACTCTTAGGTGGTTCTCAGACTTACTGGCGTTCTTCTCGAGCCCTGCCTTTGGATGGTTTTATCCACACTCAAACTTGACCTCCTTCATAGCCAGGCATCCCCAGTCCACATCATTCTGAAATCTGTGTCTTCTACCCCGGCGGTTTCTCCCAGCTTCAGACTGCAGAAGCTGGGCCTTCACTGATCATTTCTGCGGGGATGCCCTGCAGTCCTCTCAGGCTCAGTGTCTCCTAAAGCGCGCTCACTACCGTTCCCCAGAAACCCGCACTCCGGGTCTAACGCCCGAAGTCACTATTCAACCACCCCCCCAAGTACCAACCTGGGTTGGCTCCTCCTCTCACCTCCTACACTCAGTGGGTCACCATGTGCTTCCAAACTCTATTTTATAAAGATCCTCCAATTCCATCCGCTATGTCCGCTGCTCCTTCCTGCCTTTTGGTGACTAGAGGTTAGGGTCACAACTTCCTACTGGCTCTCCTTAGCTTTAAGCTCAGCTTCATCCAGTCTATTTTCCATCCCACTATGAAGTGATTTTTCTACAGTTCAAATATAATCATGTCACTCACTCACTTAAATCCCTTTAAGATTTTCTTAATCTTCAGTATAGTATCCAAAGCCCCTGGCATGGATTCAGGGTCCTTCCTGATCGTTTCTGGACCTCCCCCGCCTTCCCCAGCCTTTGTCTCCCGACCACTGTTGCTCAAAGCGAGGTGTGGCGCGGACCTCCCTTAGGACCTTGGGTGCGCTTGTTAAAAATGACAGCGACAGCCCAACCAGAACAAATCCGGATCTTGGTGGGGGCGGGGGGGGGTAAGGGGGGGTAATGCTCAAGAATCTGCATTTATATAAGTTCTCAGCATTTTAGCAACTTTTTCACTAGGGTTTGAGAGGCCTTCTTCCAGATACTCCCCGATGTTTACCCTATTCTTTATCTATACCTGACCACCAACTTGTGTTTTCCTGAACTCACTTTGGCATCTTTTATGCCTTTGTACACATCAGGCTCTTGAACTCCTTTTTTGGTAACTACTCCTCATTCTTCGAGACTGAGTGTAGCTGTCGCTCCTGGGCAGACTTCCCCGGCCGGCCGTGCACAGCCGTGAGCCACTGTGTGACCTCCGGTCTGCCACCAGATGTGCCTGTGGGTTCCATTATTACCAGCCTGGACCGGGCGCCTGGTGCACGGGCCGCTGTGCTTTCTGGCGCTGGTCTCATGGCTGGTGATAAGGATGTTTCTTGCCTTGGGAGGCATTTTAACCAATGGTGGTGTTAAAGAAAAAAATTATTTCGTGACACTTGTTAAAGAATGGTGAGGCAGACTTTATTGCGGTGGACATGTTGCCAAAGGGGCGGGAGACTGGACTCTGCCTCCACCCGGGGCAGTGGGGGCTTTTAGCCAAGGACCAGGTGGAGGTCAGCGAATGAAAAATTACCTAGAGAAAAAACCAGAGATAAGGCAGATTCTTGTTAGAATGACTCAGTCAGGCCAGGGTGGTCAGATAATCGCGGTTTTGTTTTGTTTTGTGTTGCTAAACCAACTTAACAGGATTTTTGCTCAGACTGGATTCCATGAGGACAGAGGGGAACCCAAGGTTGGGCTTAGGCCAGTGGGCAGCTCAGAGGAACTGGATTAAATTGGGGCAGAAGAGAGTCTTTGTCTGAGGTTCGAGGGAGTAACAAGAGAACTAGAACCTTCATTGAAAGCAGCTTTTTTTAAAATTATTGGTTTATTTACCGCATGCACACATAGTCATAAAAAAATTCTGTTTAAATATTTATGTGTTTAGAAAATTATTTCGTATTAGAGAACTTAGAGAATACACTGCAGCTTAATAATAAACTAACTTGCCCATTATCCTACAACCAAGAGGGAACCACTTAAATTTTTTTGTGTTTATTTCTGTTGGTGTTTTTTCCATTTATATTTATGTTTGGACACAATTGGGGTAATACCAATTATATGTGGATTTTTAGCCTACTGATTTTACTTAACACAGTATTTTGAGTCTCTTCCACATCAGCAAAAATTCTTAGCAAAGAAAAATTTAATGTAGGGGAGGAAAAAGTTTTACTTGACCCCTGAGGGTCCCCAGCCAGGTCTGGAAATCAACCTGACAGATGGATTACCAGGGGCAAGACATGCACGTTTGTGTAAAATAAGTTTTCCATGACGCAGCAGCCTTCAAAAGATACTGGAGACCCAGCCAAACCGACCTGAGTCTTTCATGTGGGCTTTGATTCAGAGCGGAGGACCGCGGTCCCCCAGGGGTGGGGTACCCGGCAGGGCTGCTGGCCAGATTCTCCTTGGCACGCCTCTGTCTTGGGAGAGAAGGGTGCTTTCCTCTGGGTGTCCAGGGTGCGCCTTTCACGTGCGGGCTTTTCCATCTGTTTGAGGCAGGTCGGTACGATGGGAAGGAGGTCAGGCTCGTGCAGCTTAAGAGTCAATGTGCCAGGGTGTCATATTTGGGGGCAGCGTGTCCTGACTCCATCGCCTTCAACAGTTACCTGCTGTAAGGGTATTGTGAGCCAGGCCTTATTTTAGGCACTGGGGACACAGCAGTGACCAGAACAGTCCAGCTCCTTACTCTCACGGAGTTTACGTCCTAGTGGGATGAGCTAGTACAGTAGCGAGGGAGGCTCGTAAGTGCTGCGTGCTGTGAAGAAGACAAATGGAAATAGCGTACGCAGTACCAACGGTGTCCAACCTTTTGGTCTCTGGCACGCATATTAAATACACTGTGACACGAAATCACACACACACACACAAATCTCATGAGGTTTTAAGTAGATTTGCGATTTTGCGTCGGGCCACACTCTCAGCCGTCCTGGGCTGCGCCCCGATCCCTTGCTGGACAGCCCTGACCCTTTTGATTTTTGGAGAAGTTGGGCTGACTCCCCTTGCCTGTAGGAGTGGGCGAAAGTGTCTCATTTTGTCTTGTCATCAGTGATTGTGAGCAGTTAAACCATTTTATCTGATAGGTGGCGAGTGAGAGCTCCTCATAATTTGCATGTCTTTGATTACTCAGGAAGCCGAGCGTTTTTAGAGCGTTTTTACACGGCTGTATTCGTGCGTTCACTGTCGTTGAGTTTCGTTCACTGTCGTTGAGTTTCGGTGCCTGATCTCTGCCTATTCTCCTCTTGAGGGCCTAGTGTTGCCTTCTATTTTGAATAAGCCATTTACTAGTTTGATGGTGAGTCTTTTATGTACATACAACAGCTTGACAAGTACTCTTAAAAAGAGGTGTAGTGACTCAGAAGAAAGGAAAAACAGGAAGCCTAGAAGTCCCTTCTTCTTCTGCCCCTCCTGCCTTCTAACACAATGAGGTAAAAATAGTAAGAGAAGGGAACAGTCGAGTTTAGGTGCAAAGAAGTGAAGAAAGAATTTGAAAAAGGTAGGCGGACAGGTGAGAAGGTCAGGACTATGAGACTGGGAGGGAGAAGAGGGCCGGAGGCACGAGAAGCCGCTAGAAGGGAACGGAGCCAGGGAAGGGGGAGCGGGGAGGGCGAACGGTGGGGGTGGGGGTGGGGGGCGCGGCCACAGGGGCGCTGCCTGCTGACCTGGGGCGATCATGCGTGTTATTTTTTCTTTTTCTGCCTTTAGAAGATGACTGTGTTCTTCAAAACACTTCGAAAACATTGGAAGAAAACCACAGCTGGGATCTGCCTGCTGACCTGGGGAGGCCATTGGCTGTATGAAAAACACTGGTAAGTATCTCAGAGCCCCTGGCGCACCCACCATCACCTGCCGCGACAATGCTGACAACGCTGCCCCGGAGGGCCGAAGGCTAACCTCTCGTTCAGCTGCGCTTGTCTCTATAATGCGCTGTGGTGTAGGAAGAAAAGTAAGTCTTCAAACCACTAAGACAGAGGCTGCTTGTGGTAACCAGTTCGGTAAACTTGGAGCTATGGACTCCGATGCTGCAGTGGGTCCAGGCTGTAGGTGTCAGGTGGGGAGGTGAGGAAACAGAGGCCCAGCCCAGAGAGAGGAGTCACCTGCCAGGTTGGCAGCAGACGGGGACTGGAACTGCGTCCCCTGGGGGTTTCACTCCCTCAGTGCTCTAGCCCAGCCTCCCGGTCTCTCTTCCCTCTGGTCGCTGGCCCTGGCTCAGTCCCGCCCTCCCTCTAGCCTGGGTTCATTTACATGAGACAAAGGCTTCTGAACCTTTTGTTTAAATAAGGACTTCAGGGGAGTCCTGGGTTTTGTTAGCCTTCAGGCCTGGAGGGAGGAGAAGGTGCCTGAGCGCCACTTCTGATTTAATAGGGTAATAAGATGTAAATACACAGGGTTTTTGCATAAAAATTATGCAGGTTATTCAGAGAGCCAGTCGATTTACAGGCTTTTGGGGGATTACCGGCTACATCCTAAATATACAGCCAGTCTTGCTGCAATCCGGGTGTCTTAAACGACTGCTTTGTCAAACAAAAGATGAACAGTTAGGCTTCGGAATGTAGTCCCACACTGGAAGGAAGGTTCGTACGGATCCTTCTGTGAGCCTTCCCCAGTCCACCGCTGTCTGATAATTTTATGATGCAGCCCGGCGTCCAGCTTTCTGCAGCTGTAGAGGAGATGGAACTTCCCCCTGTCTTTCTAAGTACTCTCAATGCTAAGCACTTGAATTCCATTAGCTAGTGTATAAAAAAACAGACGTAAGAAGCTTAAATTTGGCAATAGGTAAAGAAGAAAAGGGTGGAGGAAAGGTTTTAACAAATGGAATTGGATGTATACGATGTTTGCCTTTTCCTCCCTTTTCTAACTGTACTTGAATCCTCAAGGAAAGGCTCTGTTAAAAAACAGAATTAACTGCGTACATGTGCAGGTCTAATGGGCTTTCTTCAGAGCTCCCTGAGTCAGGCGGCGTCCCATCTAGCGACCAGCAGGTGCTCCGAGGGCTGGTATAAACTGGAAAGTTCTGATAGGAAGAAGGGCGGGGCAAGGGGGCAATTAACAAAGGAAAAGAAGGGATTGTTCTCAGTCCAGAGTAAAGGGGGGTGGTGGTTAGGAGGGGAAAGTTTTAATCCTGCCTTTTCTGTCTGTGGGGGATGGATAGGCTGGGTGGCAGATTGCCGATGCTTGCCCAGAAAATTCCAGGCTGGTTGATGAAGATGGTTCCTGGGAGAGGCTGAAACTGCGGTTAGATCAGGCGTTAGATCTACGTTTGGTATTAGGGGCCCGAGTGAAGCCACCCTGGGCCTGGGGACGCACTTCCTCACCCCCCCCTCCGCCCCCCCAGCTCAGCAGGAGTTAGGGTTTCCTTTGCACGAGCACTTTCTAAGCCTGGGGAGCCTCATCAGGGGAACTTCCCACCCTCAGAGGATTACTGCTGCTCCTACCCGCCCCCCCCCCGCCCCCCGTGAACATGTGGGGAAGTCACCGTGTCCCCTCTTGAGGGTGTCTTTAGAAATGCCATAATAATTTTTTGTCAGTGTAGTCTTGAGACTGTAAAAAAGTCCCCTGAAGCCTTGGCCAGGTTGCTCAGTGGGTTGGAGCATGGCCCCCGTGCACCAGCAGGTTGCCAGCCCGGTTTCCGGTCATGGCACACGCCTAAGCTGGGGGTTCCAGCGCTGGTCTGGGCGCGTACGGGAGGCGGCCTATCAGCGTTTCTCTCCCGCTTCCTCTCTCAAGTCAGTAAAAACATATCCTCCAGTGAGGATTAAAGAAAAAGTTTTAAAAGTTCCATTAAATCTCCAGCCCATCAGTGGCCTCATTTTCTTTTTGTAAAAAAAATTTTGGAGTGAAATACACATAAAATAAAATTTAACATTGTAATCATTTTTTTAAGTAAGTAGTTCAGTGGTATTAAATACATTCACGTAGCTAGGCAACCATCATCCGTCTGCAGAATGGTTTTCACCTTGCAAAACAGAAACTCTGCATTCGTTAAACAATTAATTCCTCATGCCTTCCCCACCCCCCATCCCCTGCCCCTGTACCTGGCACCCACCACTTTACTTCCTGCAGAGGCCTCGTGCTGACCTGGATGTGAAACAGCCCGATCCAGGCACGTGGTAGGAGCCTGGAGGCCTCACTCTGTGGCCGGGCCCTTGACATTCAAAGTAGCTGCTCAAAATGCCAGCCCCCTCGTCCTGCCGCGCTTGTTCTCAAACTGCTCTTCTGTGTGCTGTGGTGCTGTTTGGCCATTTTTTTTTTTTTTTTAATTTTAGCCCCCTTTCTAAAAAAAAAGTAAAAAACATATAAGAAAATTTGCCGCCTTACATTAACCATTTTTAAGTGTGCAGTAATTCCTGTTAAGTATGTTCACATTATTACCCAGTAGATCTCCAGAGCTTTTTCATCTTGCAAAACTGAAACTCTCTACCCACTAAACAGCTGCCCATTTCCTCCCCCTCCCCCTCCCCCCTTCCCTGGCCCCTGGCAACCACCCTCCTACTTTCAGTTTCTCTTTAATTTGACTGCTTTGTATTCCTCCTATAAATGGAATCACCTGGTGTGTGCCTTTTGTGACTGGCTTATTTTATTTAGCATAATGTTCTTTAGGTTAATCCCTGTTGTAGCAAACGGCAGGACTTCCTTCTTTTTTAAGGCTGAGTAGTAGTTATTATGCGTATGGACCACATTTGCTCTATCCGTTCACCTGTTGACAGGGGTTTGGGCTGCTCCCACCTCTTGGCACTGTGAGTACTGCTAACACAGCACGTGGAGGTAGGCCGCTGCATCTTTGAGATCTTGTTTTCCATTCTTTCGAGTGTATACTCAGAAAGGAGGGGTTGCTGGATCACATGACAGCTGTGTTTTTAACTCTTTGCGGCCCGTCCATACTGTTTTCCACGTCGCCTGCACCGTTTCTCATTCCCACCAGCCGCGCACGCGCTCCAGTTCCTACTTCCACGTCCCCGCCGACGCTCATCGTTTCCGGGATTTTTGATGGTGGCCGTCACCCTAATGGGTGAGATAGGGCATCTCATGGTTTTGATTTGCATTTTTCTAATGACTGGTGATATCGAACATCTTTTCATATGTTTCTTGGTCATTTATCTTTGGAGAAATGTCTAAGTCCTTTGCCCATAAAAAAAACCAAAAATCAGATTACTTGGTTTTATGTTGTTGAGCTGTAAGCATTCTCTAACCCCATATGAGATATATGCTCTGCAGATATTTTCTCCCTTTTCATAGGTTGCCTTTTCACTCTGTTGATTGTATCATATGATATGCACAGAACTTTTTAAGTTTGCTGTCATTCCATTTGTCTATTTTTGCTTTTGTTGTCTCTGCTTTTGGGTCATATCCAAGAAATTATTGCCAAATCTAATGTCATGAAGGTTTCCCCCTCTTTTCTCCTAGAAGTTTCATAGTTGTAGATCTTATATTTAGGTCTTAGATTCATTTTCATTCTTTTCCCCCCTTGTGTTGTTTTGGCATCCTTGTTGGAGATCATTTGATCACATATGCACGGATTTATTTCTGGGCGCTCTATTCTGTTCCATTGCTCTATATATCTGTCTTTATGGCAGTACTACATTGTTTTGATTACTGTAGCTTTGTGATATGTTTTAGAATTAGGAAGTGTAAGTCTTCCAACTTTGTTCTTTTGCAAGATTGTTTTGACTGTGTGGGGTCCCATGAGATTTCAAATAAATTTCAGGATTTTTTTCTGTTTCTGCAAAAAATGCCACTGGGATTTTGATAGGAGTGCATTGAATCTGTAGATCACTCTGGGCAGTATGGACATTTTAAGTTTTCCAGTTTATGAATATTGGGATAGCTTTCCAGTTATGTTTGTCTTTAATTTCTTTCAGCAGTGTTTCATAGTTTTTAGGGTGCAAATCTTTTGCCTCCTTGGTTAAGTTATTCTTAAATATTTTATTCTATTTGATGCTATCAAAACTAGGATCATTTTCTTAATTCCTTTTCAGATTGTTCACTATTAGTGTATAAAAATGCAACTACTTTTTTGCATGTTAATTTTGTAATCATCAACTTTGCTGAATTTGTTTATTCTAACTTTATTATTATTTTTTTTTTGGCATGGACTCTTTAGGCTTTTCTACATATAAGATCATGTCATCTGCAAACAGAGATCTTTTTAGTTCTTACTTTTCAATTTGGATGCTTTTTATTTCTTCTTCTTGTCTTATTGCTGTACAGGGCTTCCAATACTATGTTGTACGGAAGTGGCGAGAGTGGGCATCCTTGTCTTGTTCCCGATCTTAGAGGAAAAGCTCTAAATCTTTCACTGTTGAGTATGACATGAGCTGTAGGCTTTTCACATATGGCCTTTATTATGCTGAGGTAGTGTCCCTCTATTGTCTCTATAAAGAATGTGAGGACTGTTATGTGACAAAGTTAGGGATATATGCATTCAGCTGCTTGCTTAACCGGCCTACTCCGGTGCTTCACAGGTGCCTCAGCCTCAATGGACAATAACATCAAAAGCTTTCCCATCGAACCTGTTCCTTCTCAGTGATTAGCACCGCTTACCATCCAACTCCTTTCCCAGACTAAAAATTGGCCATCATTTCCCAGTTCATCCTTCACTCTTATGCCCCATGTTCAGACTATACGTTCTAAGGGATTGTGCTTCTTTTAAACCTCTTTACTTTGTTCGATTTCTTTTGCCTCTCCACCTTTGTAGTACCATCGCCTCTGGCCTGGATTCTTACTGAATGGCTCCTAACCGTTCCCCTTGCATCTACTCTCGTCACTTTCTAATCTGTTTTGCACGCCATTGCCAGAACAATCTTATTAA